ACACTGAAAAAAAAACTAACAAACGATCTACTGCTGGTACAACCAAGCGACCGATCGACCAAGAAATGGGTCGGTCCATTGGCGTGAGGCCGACGGGATTTGGGTTCCGGTTCTCGAAGTCCTGACCGGTTTTCTCATTTTTCATTGCAGTTTTATTACAGGTCTTTTTATTTTAGTTCTTTCAAAAATATTTTTTTAATGTTCCTAAAAAAGGTTTGCATTTTTTAAAGTTGTTCAAAACTTTCGTAAAATGTTTGTGTTAAAAATATATTCAAATATATTATTCATATTTTCAAAAATATTTGGGTTTTAGAAGATTGTTCAAAGATTTTAATAAGTTTTGCAAATTGTAGAAAATGTTCACGCATTGAAAAGTTTTCTGATTTTCCTAAAAGTATTCACGTTTTGGAAAACTTTTCACGTGTTCAAAAAAATGTTTACACACTTTATGAAATGTTCAAAATTATGGAAGAAAATTACATTTATAAAAATATTCAGTTTTTCCGAAAAAGTTCACGTTTCAAAAAATGTTCGCGTTTTAGAAAATTGTTTAGAATTTAAGGATCTTTTTTTAATCTCAATCTCCTATGAAGACAATGCATGTGTGTCAATGATTTTGTCAAGGCCATCTCTTATGGTGGATAGATATTTCTTTTCTTTTTTTATATTCTGAGGGTAAGTTTTGCCCATCAATTTAAGAATCGTCGCATCACGCGAGCCTTGAAATTCCATCTCTCAATAGGCGTTCGACCAACAGCAGGCCTATGTCATACATTCTTGACAAGGTTTGCAGATCCATCATGTTGTAACCATCCAAATTCGAATTTGAATGGATGGTTTACATGTGAGCAATCTGTAGGATTTGTATCCAGAATGATAGGGACATCCTCTGACTTTTGTGGCGCACAACTTATATTTCATTGGTGAAATTAATTAGCATTCCCCATGGCTATTCTCTAGGACAGATTTAGTTGCAATGTTATTTTCTCATTTTAATTTGGCACTCTCCGTTCCACTTATCTACCTAGGGCGTACAGGATTGTAATTGCCGCTCTGTCATATTGTACTTGTCACTCACTATCACGATTCTCTAAAACAAATTCAGGTGTATTGGCCTTCTCTGTTTTTTTTTTTGAAACAGGCCTTCTCTGATTTTAAATGGACGTCAGGAACACTCTGGAAGTCAACACTCGAGAAGCCAGCAGCATGCCACGGGAGTTAAGACTGTACTAGTTGTTGGTTAACCATCCTTTTTGGTACGGCTAACTAGGACTGAATAGGAACCATGTACCCTCTTCTCTATTGATATGATATCCATTTACTCTCAACTAGTGATATAATAGGAATCTACTTTTAGGAATCCAAACGGTTTCTTTCAGAATTTAGTTATATGACTATGACTGAAAGTTCTTCCTATTCCCAACTGATATGACAATATTGCTTGTGCTTTGTCGATATGGGAAAAATATTTGTTTCATAACTATTGCTTGTGCTTGATTGCGATTATCCATGCTAAAAAATACAGGAATATTTTTTTGTTGAATAGTTAAAAACAGTAAAACTTTCAGAGGTTCCAAAAGTATTGGGGGAAAGAACCTAGCTGGACCAAGAAGAGTCGATTACTACATGGACTATGGCGGACATCACAATGTTGAGCCATAATAGTAGTTGAGCATCAAAAGTGCTCTTGTGAGCTCGAGCTCACATGCACCCTTTGCTACAGTAAAATAAAAAAAGATATTTTGAAAGTTAAAAAAATCAATTTTTTTACAACAAACATTGATGTCTTTTTCACATGCGTGCAAAATTTCATGACAAAATGACATTCATGCAGGTCTCGGTGAAAAAAAAAACAAAATCAATGCTCCAAAATGCTTCAAAAAACAGTTTTTTTCGAGCATGATTTTGTCTTTTTCGCCGAGGCCTCCACAAATGTCATTCCATCACAAAAATTGGCACGCATGTGTAACACACATAAATGTTTGCTGCCAAAAAAAATTCATATTTTTTTAACTTTTTTACTGTAGCAAAGAGTGCATGTGAGCTCGAGCTCACATACTCCATGTCCGTTGAGCATAATACATACTGGTCGAGTAGAAGCACCACTTTACAGTTTAGGTCACGCTGGTTCTATATTGCAATATTGGAAATAAAGTAACCAAACAATTGGAACTGATCGAGTTGCCCTTCAGTTCCTAAACTAGCGCTTGTCCCCTGCTGCCTCGTTCCTTTAACCTCTGAAACCAATCTCCTTCCTACCCTATAAATACATAGCTAGATAGGTAGTCCTGCATCACCTCTTCAAAGTCTTTCACCAAGTGACATAGTCCTCTGGAGGCGGGGAAAAAGTCAAGTACCATGATCGGTGAAATGGATGCGCATAGCGTTGCAGGATACTTCAGAAACAAGAGCATCCTCATCACAGGTTCAACAGGCTTCCTAGGAAAAGGTATGTATTCATGCATGATCACTACCTTTCAGGTCAGCATGTGCTGTGCATGTGTGGTGATCATCTTATATGTTGGTGTTTCACGCATGATTACTGTTTAGTGCTTGTGGAGAAGATACTGAGGGTTCAGCCTGATGTGAAGAAGCTCTTCCTCTTAATCCGGGCCCCAGACGTTGAATCTGCGAAGATTCGAATTCAAACTGAGGTGAAATATTCGTTTTCTTCCTTTTTCCTATAGAATTGTACATTTGTTTTGTCTAATGCTTAAACAATGTCCATTAAATTTTATGGAAGTATGCTTGTCCAGCCGGTAGGCCATCTTGGGCCTTGTTTGGATTGAGTATAATTTTAGTTTGCTCCCCACTAGTATGTTGTTCAAACTTGAGATAAATACATGTAAGCACAGAAAAAATATATTGAATCCAAACAGGGCCTTGGTTTGCACACTCAACTCCCAACCCCCAATCTTAGGGTACGCATATACTGACTTCTCTTTCGGATGGCTCACCAATTTGGATTCTGATATTTAGTACCAATAGGTATTGGATTTTCTTCTGAATATGCCTTAAAACCAAACAAAATACTGGAATGTGCACATCTAGCTATTATCTAATTCTGCATATCCCTATCTGCTTTCCAACAAGGAATGTTTGTACCAGCCGTTGGTCAAGGAGGAAGCTCCAACCTTCGTGCCATGCTGCAACCTGAACACCTGGGCAAGCAGCATGTACATGATGCATCGGCATGCACAAAAGAAAAGTGTGATTATATTGCAATTAATTCAAGCGTGTGTTTACTATCCTTTCCTGCATGTCAAGATCACGCTGGCTAAAGATGCATGTAATGTGCTCTTGCTGGCTAAAGCCAAATATGTTGTTTAATGCTAAGGAAAATACCTAAAGTTTGAAAACTGTGAAAACTACTTGTTTGGTCTATCCATAAGATTAATTCTAAAACTGAAATGTACCATTAAAAATTAAACATAATGAACCGGGTCATTTCCATGATGTCAACATGTATGGGCTTGCGAGTAGAGGGGAAAAGGCCGATATGAATATGACAGAGACAAGTAGAGCATGCTTCAATTATGCTACTATGAAACCGGTGATAAACTGAAAATTTAAAATAGATGTCTTTTAAGAATGTGAGTAGTCTAAAAAAAATTGGAGGGATAGAGGATTTTGATTCTAGAAAGTGGTGCTTTTCCATTCAAAACCTTTCAGGTACTCGGTGCAACCGTCGGTTTAAAGAAAATCAACTTATTAGTTCTTAAGACCGTGCCAAGAGATTAACTTTATATTTCCTTTTTAAACTAGTCGACGGGGTTTAGCCAAGGTTTTACACGACATAGGGTTGCCCATATAGTGATTGTTCCACTCGTAGCTGATAAGTGGGATCTACCCTTCGTAGAATTCTCATTGGCCATTGAAGTAGTGGTCCTCCCTTATGCACAGTTCTCAAAAATTAAAAGTTAAGGGCATGTCCTTTCGGGTATTAAAAGATTAAAAGCGTGCCAAGATTCTTTTTTTTAAATGAGAACAACTATTTAGGTATATAGCATTTCCCAATGAACTTTTGGTATTTTTAGGTCACAGGGAGGGAGATCTTTCGTGTGTTGAAAGAAAATCATGGTGCAGGGTTCGATAATTTCATTGAAGAAAAGATTTGTCCTTTGGTCGGAAATATCATGAAAGAGAACTTTGGATTAGACAATTCCCAATTGAAAGAATTCTCCAAGGATATAGACATCATAATCAACGGGGCAGCGACTACAAATTTCTTTGAAAGGTATGATGTGTTTATTGCTTGCAGAGTTTTTACATACTCCCTCCAGTTCTCAAATGAGTGAAGTTTTAGATATTCCTTGAGTCAAAATAAAGTTTTGACGAGGGATATCATCTTAATTATTTTATTTGTCAATTTTATATATTATATGTATATATTATGTCAAAATGTATTTCTTGAATATTTTATTTTTTGCGCACTATATACATACAATGATATCTACTATTAAAGAGGAATGTGTACATCATCGTCGTTTGCATGCAGCCATTAATCCGAAAACAATTTGGAAACTGAGTGCCGAATCAATTAGAAAGTCAAGCCATTAATGCAATTAGTTAGTCAGCCAGTTAATTATCTGCACAATTCATTAGGTCCATATAAATAGAGACCTTTTTTCGCATGGAATCAATTTGGAAACCAAGTTATTAATGCAAATAATTAATTATGTAGTTAGTTAACTAGATCTCCAGATAATTAGAAGTAGGGAATATTTTCCAACTTTAGTTTTCCTAATAGTCTGCCCGGTCCACTTTCTAGCTATTGTTTCCAAAACTTCATATAATCTAGCACGCCACATGTCACCACTTTTCAAATATTGTTTCATCCTGGCCCGCATGCCACCACTTTTCAAGAGCACATGTTTTTAGATTTACACCTTGTTGATTGTGTCAATGTCCAAAAAAGACTTGCTTGTGAACTAAAAGTTGTGATATTGTAAGAAACATGTGCTTGAAATAATTGATCAAAATGTGATGCTATTTTTTAGATATGATGTGGCTTTCAACACAAATGTCTTGGGAGCGAAGCACGTCTGCGCATTTGCGAAGAAGTGTCCGAAGCTCAAGATGTTGCTTCATGTTTCAACTGGTGCAAACTCATAAGACTATTATGATCTATGAATTTGTGGTTGGTGGTGTGTCATACATGCTGAAAAATTGAGCTCATTAAGTGATATATTACTTGAACAGCCTATGTAGCTGGTGAAAAAGAGGGGCTAATATCGGAGGAGCCATTCTTGATGGGTGAGACCCTAAGGGTGGGCACATATCTGGACATCGAATCCGAGCTAAATCTTATCAACAAGACCAAGAGAGAACTAATAGCCAACCGCTCAACTGACAAGGTTGTGAGAAAAGCCATGAAGGAGCTTGGCCTCAAGAGGTTAGACACGACTAGAAACATACTTATGCATTTGTACTCTTTTCTACCTCTTGGTATGGTTGTAAACTTGATACATTTGTTACATGTGGACAACTGAATGAAGAGCACGACACTTTGGATGGGCAAACACCTATGTCTTCACCAAGGCAATGGGGGAGATGCTGCTAGAACACCTGCACGAGGGCTGTCCGATGGTCATCATCCGCCCAAGCATCATAACTAGTACTCTCAAGGATCCCTTCCCTGGATGGATGGAAGGAATAAGGTCACAGAAACTCAACATTTGTTTACTATTAACAAAAGTGTACAACCATATGTAATGCTGCACTTTTATCTTTCATAGGACAATCGATATAGTGATTGCCGGATATGCCAAGCAGACCATGTCATTCTTCCTAGCTGACCTGGATTTGATAATGGACGTGGTTAGTAATCTGTTCACAAATTACCAACCAAAATTTGGAACGGAACTTGATTAAGGTACCAAGTGATTAACCAGCCATGAGGTGTGGTCCTGATGGGGGTGGTTTGGACAGATTCCAGGGGACATGGTGGTGAGCGCTATGATGGTTGCCATGGTAGCACACTCGAAGGATCAGCAAGCACATATCATCTACCATGTAACATCATCACATCACAACCCCGCAACCTACGCCATCCTCGCAGATTCGGGTCACCGCTACTTCTTCGACAACCCACCATGCACAGGGAGGAATGGTGAACGTGTGCGACTAAAGAAGATGCGATTCTTTAGGACAACTGCGAGTCTAAGATTGTACATGGCCATCAATTACAAGCTTCCCCTCGAGGTTAGCTTACCATTTCAATGTCGACACATTGATTTCATAGAGCTGAGATGTGAAGGAGATTAATATTATGAGCTCGTGTTGCGATTGATTCGACAGATGCTTCACCTAGTGAACATTACACTTTGTGGTGTTTTCTCACGGCGCTGCAGTGAGTACAACAGGAAATACAGATTCCTCACACTGCTGATCGAGCTCTACGCGCCATACGTCCTGTTCAAAGGACGGTAAGCAACTTTTCAATCTTGTCAAAACATAGTTTCCCTTTTGCTTTTGCAAAAAGAAAATTCTACAAATATTTTGTTACCTAAAATATTGCACTTTGAGTTATTTATCAATCTGGTGTAGCTTTGATGACAACAACTTGGAGAGACTAAGGATGGTGAGGAACAAGGATCAAAATAACAATGAAGCCTGTTGGTTTGATTTTGACCCCAGGTCCATCAACTGGGATGACTATTTCTACAATGTTCACATTCCCGGTGTGCTCAAATATATGCAGACTGAGTTACATTCGACTAGCCAAAATTCAAACGATGTTGCTAGGCTTTGAAATACAATAATTTCACTGCTCCCACAAAGTTTGTACTAAACCAGTGACAGGTAATATGGATCGTAGGGAGTATATTATTTATGCAACACTGGTGAATATGTATTGTACAATATTATGTTAGCTTATGAATTCTATTGATAAAATACATTTCTTGTATCAGCTCTATCCTCAGCTTGTACAATATTTATGCAACACTGGTGAATATGTAATATCAGCTTGTGCATCAATAAACTGCACGTCAGAAAAAAAATAAAATATATATCTATTGCAATCCATTTGCCATGAGACTCCGATCTACCCGGCGATCCCTCGTCGCTATCCGGCGAGTACTGTTTTCCAAGTGATCGTTTTGGCATGATCGTCGCCGCCGTCTACAGAATTCAGATCTCACTGTCGCATCATCAAAGCATGCGGATCGGAGACAAAGATGTGCTTTTTGGTAACAAGTTTCCAGACTGAAAAAAGGAAGGCACGACCTACTAGCAGTACAACGCTTTGAATAAAAGTAGAACTGTAGAAGTGACTGATTCAAGTAGAGTCGTAGCGGCTCCCAACCTCCTGCCTCACCTGTTGTTGCTGCTGCTCTTCGGCGGGGGTGATGCCACCATGATCAACATCACCAACCATGCGCACATTCCCTCTCAATCTGTCGCTCGCCTAGACCATTGACCGCGAACATGGCCGTGACTATGACCATGACCATTGACATTGAAAAGAAGTTCATGTAATTTTTAAAAAATCAGATAATTTGAAAAAAAAATTACAAGTTTGAAAAGTTTCTAGATTTGCAAATTTTCACCAGATTTTAGTAAAAATCCATATTTCAAAAAAAACATGAATTTGAAACAAATTACCAAATTGGAAAAAATAAAAAAGGAAAAAGAAGAAGGAAATTGAAAAAAACCCAGCAGGGGAGGTTCGGGGGCCGCGGACTGCCTTGACAATAGCGGGGTTTACTTAGGCAGCTCAGCTCTAGTCATCGAAGGAGTTGGTGATCCAGCGATCATGGAAGCCATAACATGTCCTGAGGCACTGTGCTTAGCAGAAGACCAACAGATCAACCAAGTTCATCATAGCCTGTGACCCTAATAAACAGGTTATTGGAGATATTAACCAGAGAAATCATGACAGATATGGAGCCATCATTAACGAGATCAAAGCGCGAGCTGCACCATTTACTTGTATCTTTACTTTTGAAGGTTGTGCTTCTAATTTTGAAGCACATGGTTTAGCTATTTTTTTCCTTACTTTAGCTCCAGGGCATCATGTGTAGTCTGGCCAGCCGCATGATGTAGTTTCCATCCCACAATCTATAGACTTTGATGAATGAAATCAGGCTTTTACCCCTAAAAAACCCTGTTGCCGCTTCTTCCCGTAACACCGTCATAATACCATACACCAGTTACTTAGGCGTCGGCACATCACGCTGCAGGCTCCCCTGCATATCTGTGCTATTATATTGGCATATGTAACATCGGGTGTCTGCCCCCACATTATATAAAAGGTCTATGATAGAAGTGTCATATAAAGACACGATTCCATACCCTGTCTACACACGATATAACTCTAAGTCCAACTGTAAACTACCTTGTACACAATATTCGACATAATTCCAACAGCTTGTGACCTGTCAAAACAATGATGTGATTTCGCTTTATGCCTTCCACAAAAAAAGTAATTAGCAAGAAAGGATACTCTAGTTTACACTCTACAGCAAAGGGACGTTGCTTTGTTCCGAAACAAGTGATTGATGTTGACTTTACAAGTCTGGATGAATATGACTGCACAAGGTCGAGTTGCTGTTCTCCAGAAGTACTTGGAGGAAAAAAATGAAATCAAGAGGTGTGTGGAGTACGTACACTTTTTCCATGCCGAAAAAATGAAATTCAGTTTTCCAGAGTGCGAAAAATTTTGAATTTTTTTGGGGAACACACACCTCTTGAGGATGTTCAAGATTTCACAGCATTATACTTTCGCACGTGGCATACAGAAAAAAAGACAAATTCGTACTCTTAAACAGGCCCTTTAATTTTGTTGTTGGGTTGAATTTTTTTTTGTACAGCCTACAAATCACAACATTTAAAAAAAGAAATTTCACATGTTCATGCGGAACACATATACGTTTCCATTGATTTTTCTGGATTTTTTTTAACACTTCTAAATATGATTTATGATTTTTTTAATATACTGTCCTCCCTGGAGGTCGGTCACCAAAAATTTGCTGAACATATAAATATCGGCATCACAAGCAAGTTATTCTAGCATCAAGCCCTCGAGCAGGTACCGCGCAGCAGCAAGTCTAGCAGGTACCGCCCCGAATCTGAGGTTGTCACGAGTGCCAGGCCTCATCTTATGCCTCCGTTTCGAAAAAAAAACGAGTGCCAGGCCGCACCAGCAGTATCATTGCTGCTGCTGATTCTACCACTGTGATATATGGTCTAATTATATTAGAAGTCTAGAAGTATGTTATTTTTCCTTTTCGAAATGGACACAGAAGAGTTGCCTCATTCCGTAACCGAAGAGTTGAGATACATTAACAAGGAGCAAAAAAAAAGGGGGCTCTGAGATGCACAAGGGAAAAACTGTCTACTCTCCCAAGATGGCATTTTATCAAAAAGCATGTTTTATGTGATAACACCTATGCAAGATTTGATCGCATTTTCTATCGTGTTTGCCTATTTCCTACAGTCAAAATCATCAAATAACGCACTATAAAATGTAATTCCTGTTTTTATTCTTGAAGACGTACAGATATAATTTGAAAGGGACTAACAAGCAAACAAGTCTGCAAGAATGTTAGGCTGTTTTATGCTGACCGTTGAATGATCAACAACCAGATGCGGTCCCTGTCTGCTATTCCCTACCACTCTTCCAGGCTGTTAGCTGTTAGTCTGTCACAACCACAGGAGCCCTATCTCAAGTTTGCAGTTGAGAGACTGGTTCAAGTTAACGGCTGCACAGAAATCATAACAAAAATGGGAGTGGTGAGTACCTCTTCGGCTCCGTCCTGCCTCTCCTCCTCCTCACCGTTGCCACCGTGTGGCCAGCCACTATTCTAGTCGGAGGTGGTGTGAAGCTTGATCAAGGCGAGAATGTGCCTGCCGTTTGTGTGAACCTCAGTCAGGGTGAGAAGGTGCCAGTTTGTGCCACGATCAATCAAACAATATCGCCTACAGCTGAAAGTCCCCTAGCTGCACCCCCGGCTAAGGTAACACCTACGACCCCAAGTATGCTCTGCCTGCACCCTCGGTCATCCGCTGACCTTGAAATTTACTCTATACTCAAGATACATCATTATATGATTCATATCAAACCTGGAATCTTTCAAGGTCCTTTGATATATTTAAGCCATTAAATGCATTTTCAGTCACTTAAAAATATAATTCAAATTTGAAGTGCATGAAAAAGTTCATAAAATTGATTTGAAAATACCATTTGTGTTCTTGAGTCTATATGTTGGCCTTTCCTAGAAAACTAGGGCA